TTGGAGAAATATCTAGAAAATGTTGTTTCCCCCGTTGTTCTGCGTGGTGTCCCTCTGACAATTTTTAAAGAAGAGCTCACTTCTCATTTAATAACTATGGTCAATTACAATAACCCAAAATAACCTTTTCAGCACTGGGAGTCCCTAAATGCGCATATCTCAACAGTTTCGAACAACACGGCCTCAAAAACACCCTTTGCGACAGCATCCTTTCGGCTCTGAAACCACAAACAGTGCAACAGAAACGCTCGTTTCGTCCCCCCTGAATACAATAACGACCCTTGACAGAAGCAATTAACACGGCTTTAGCTGTTCCGAGATATGCACTGAGCATCACTACCTCAACACGAAATCACCATCGCTCTTAGGTAACGAACCAATCGATTAAGAAAGCATTTTCACTTATCAATTAGAACATCAGTTCTCCGCCAAATTTCAGGTACTATGCCATGAAACTTACAAACAGACAACAAATCTTTGGCTGATTTGTTATGTAACAAATTTATTCAGTACAATGCAACGAAAAAAGAAAGAAAACGAAGCCAACGACGCAACAAAAAAGGCAGAAGGCAATCGCACATATGTTATACTCCAAGAAACCACAAACGGTGATACTAGAAATCCACAGCCTGCTTTTTTCTACGTTCAAAACTTCATCTAAAACTGGCTTCCAGAGAAGATCAAGTCTAAATCTAGGGACGACAAAAAATGGAACTTATAAAGCGGAACAAAATTCAGGATAATTTTTCATGCAACCCACTCTTCCCGAAAACTACATTTTCTCCGATTTGTAACACTGAATTCAATATCACAAAACATCCTTCCAGCAATGTGAGGCTAAAAACTGGAAAAAAAATAGGAAATGCAAGAAATCCTGTGAAATCAAACGCAAATCGGTTTCCACAGAACTCAACACTATACTCAATCTGAATCAGTAGATTTAAGAATTTTCGAACATTTCTCGCAAGGAAACATGACGACTTTTTTTTTACCAAAAACAACTATCACCCGATGGCAAGCACAACATATACAGTGCAATTGATGAAATGACGCAGAATCTTAATCAACAAAAATACATCGTTTTTGGACCCAATTTCTACTGCTGGTCGCTCCGGGATTAAAAGAAATTGCATTTTTTAAGGTATTCCCAACATATGGGAGAAATAAAATCCACAGCGTTCTTCGAGTTTTCCAATATCGTGCATCCGATTAGCCGCAAGAAAATTGTACATGAATGTCAAATGATGAACAGTACAGTATGCTATCAATGAACACAACATGGAAGTGGGGTCACATGAACGGAAAAGGACGAGGTCGTCGATGCGTGCTACTCGTCCACGACTGCCGTTCCAACGAAAGCATGTTCATTTTCGTCACCAACTGAAGCAGCACAAGATAGCAACAGATTTACGCGAATATCAGTTAAATGACAAAATTCCCTTCGCATTCACACAGGCGAAAGCACTTGGAGGGTAACAAGTGTCAACAGCAACCACTCGCTAGCAAGCAACTGTCAATCGCTTTCTCTTTCACGGGTTGCTCACAGGCAAGCTGACGGAGGCTAAACTACTGACATTTAATTTAAAAAAAATGTAAAAAGATAAAACGGCGCCAAAGTTTATTGGCCGTGAGAGGTGCAGGCACTCAGAATTACATTGAATGGCAATTTGTGCCAAAAGCAAACACCCACTGGTAAGGATCTCGATCGTTTGTACTTCCAAAAGATGCTTAAAAACAAGCAAAATGACGATTCTGAATTCTCGACGCAGCACTAATTAAAAATCGAAATGACCCAACGGAT